AGGGAAACAAGCCCAGGGCTCCCACTGACTCTGCATTATGGTGAGTTGATATAGTGTAGAATTATTGTAATTGCCTAATATAAAGTGTAATTGTTGCATTCAGATTACATACTATGAACTGACAAAGGTTTTTGTTATTGGAACCCCCGTGCCTCTACCCGGTCCGCGGAAAATTTTTCATGCATGAAACCGGCCCGTGGTACAAAAAAGGTTGGGGACCACTGACTTAAAGGACAATGTTGATATTTCAGACAAATCCCATAAAAATACAACTGATCCTACAATTACTGTTTATCAAAGGCCTGTATCTTGTTCCTCTGTGCCACTGAGCTCCACTGTGTCCAAAAAATGCATCAGTGAGATCCACACGCTCTGTTCTTTATCTTTTCCTATAAAAACACACACACACACACACACACACACACACACACACACACACACACACTAGTTAATCTGGACTCAGTCTCACATACCCCGTCCTGCTGCCGCAAACACTGATGAACACACCAAATGTGGATTAATCTGAAGCTGGGAATAACGCATTCATAATGAGAATAATGCGATTTACTGTGTTTGAAAAATACTTGCTCAAAATTAGTGTCCTGTTGATTTTGGAAATTACTGAGCTTGTTTTAAAAATCACAAACATTTAAGTCTTAAGTGAGACACAGCAGGCTTGGGACTGAGTGCCAGGGAAATCAAAACACTGAAAGTCAAATAACAAATTACCGGGTTTGGTCTTTTCATGGGATTACTCACAATAAGAAAAATATAGAATAAGATTAACCCTATTCTTTAAAGTCATTCGCAAAGTAGAAACCAAGCAAACATTTGTCAGTGGAGAGGCCTACTATTACTGAAGACCTGAGAAGTAAACGCAGCACTGTAAACAGGTCAAATGAATAAACACATACAAGTTAAGGCCGGCCTGTCCACTGTGGCAGTCAACAGCGCTGCAGTCTGCAGGCAAACAGGCCCAGAAACAGAGCACTTACCTTTGGTACAGGCACAAAGGCGGTCTGTCCCAGAGCAATAGGTAACTGATACAAAGGGGTCTGTTTCCTCTGCTGACCCCTCTCTCTTAGGTGGCTCCACCCTGGCCAGGACCTCCAACGTGGACAGGTCTAGAATCATAATGTACCCAGCCCGGGTGGTTACCACCAGGTGGCCCAGGCCTACCACCTCTAACCGGCCGCACTCTTTGTGGTTGGAGGAAGAGGTGGAGGGACTGATGACAGTAGCACTGCTGCTGGTCATGGCTGCTCCACATGCAGTCCCAGTTCCAGAGCCAGCAGAGCCTTCCAGGCCAGTTCCAAACCCAGACAAGACATTTTTTGGTGCGGGAGGAAGAGTGTCCTCAGGAGCCTCTTCACTCTCATCCTCCCTGCTATCAAGCACATCTGGAGGAAGCAATATAAGAGAGGTGATGGCATCATGAGGGTCTGAGATCTGCTGCACCTTCACAGGCTCCTCATCCAAGGTGACAATGCGGGTGGTGTAGTTGAGCTTGTAGAGTGCAAGATAGCCCCCTCCACTCCCACCACTCGGGGACCTCTGCTGCTGCTGCTGCTGGTCTCCTGGGGGCAGGATGAGAGGTGTCTGAGGGGGTGACCCCCCTGAGTGGTGGCCTTCCACCCCATTGGCTACTGGGTGTAGGAGGTCTCCTTTATGCTGACGGCAGAGTGCAGAGTGCAGGCGGTTGAGATTGTTGAGAGCCTCCACTTGGTTTGTAGCGCTCAGAGATTCATTACCACATGGCTGCAGGCAGACCAGCAGGTGCACGCCATCCCAGCAGGGTGTGATTGAGTCTACATAAAGATTATCATCTTCGAGCTGTTTGGGCAGCCTCAAACACTGCACTAGCGCTCCAGGTCGAGGGGGGTTGGAGACAGTTGCTGCAGCCAGTGTGCTCCATTTGTCCACATGGCCATCTAGCCCTGCCAAATTAGTTGCTGCATCAGCAAACTGCTGAATGTAGGTGATTGGAGGATCCTGAAGAAGCAGCTGCTCGTGTGTGTCAAACTCCATCTCTATGATCTGTGGCACTGTAAAGCCTTCCTCGTGGAGCCCTTTGCTCATAAGGTTGTTCATTTGAGCAAACACCTGCCCTGAGGACTTGTCATCCACCTCTCTGATACTGTACAGCAGTAGCACAGGTATAGTTCTACGCACAGACTGCAGAGAAGAGGGGCTTGGGGGCTGGGAACCTGCTAGGCTAGAAAAGCCCTGTTCCTGGGCTGCAGTCTGGGGGCTGCAGGTCTCCATCTCCATGGGACCATGGTCCTGTAGAGGTCCAGGGAAGGCCTCAGTGCCCTGAGTCCTAAGGGGACCACCTGTGGTCCTGCGTGTTGCAGTTGGGGCTGTGGTTGAGGATCCAGCCACTGGGGTGCTGGATGCTGAGCGATAGCTGAGCAGGCCTCCGGCCAGCAGACCGGGCAGGGGAATGTGGTGGTGGTCAGAGACCTTGTCCTTTGCCTTGGCCTGACTGTGGGCCTTGGCTTGGTTTAGTGAGGGGTTGGCACCCAGCTCCTCTAAGTCCTTCACTGTGTCTTCCAGCACACTGGCCACCACCTCCCACTGGAGCTTCTCTGGCTGCTGGAGCACACTCAGCGCTGTCACCCCGAGGCTCACATCCATGCTCTCCCATTGAGATGGCTGGCCTGAAAGAGAATTAGAAGAAGAGGTCTGGGGTTTTTCCTGTTGAGACTAAAACATGACACCAATAGTAGAAAACACTACTGTAAATGTACAGACAGGAGTTCAGATATGGCTCTCTCACAGCTAAGGACACCTCTAGACTTCAGAAAACAAACAATTTAAATTCAAGTCTTCATACCTGTTACCGACTCTGATCGGGAATGCTCATCACTGTCTGAATCCTCCAACTGGTCATCACTGGAAAAGAAAAGGTATACAGAAAAAATCATGACTAATATGATAAAACAAACTGAGACCTGTGACTCACTCACTGACATGCACAAGGTTCCTACAGTGTAAGAAGAACTGAGCAGCTGAATCACAGTATATGCCCACTCCCAGTCATCCAGACCGTCTGTTGTTGTTTTTGTTTTATTAAAGATCTTTTAGTAGCATGATCATTAGACTGAAGAATTATTAATAATGAAATGTTTCCAACTCCAGTTAATTAAAATTGTAACTTAACACTGTGAGTAATATGTTTTTGCAACTATGTTACCAGCAAGACTGTTTTCTTGCCGTTTCGTTAATTTTATTGTTTTTATTTCCCCATGCAACGACTCCATTCAACTGTTTCATCACCGAACAGTAACTGTTCCAAACGTGCAGAGCAGCCCTTACTAAACTGCCACCTTTGATGTGAGTGACAGTTCATTAATAAGTCAGTCAGAGCCGACAGAATGGTGACTAGCCAAGGCCTCTGTAGCACATGACTATTACAGGAGAAACCTGTCCAGTTGGTGGGATTCTTCCACAGAGCTTGTATCAACAAGGCACTGATCTTATTAAGTAAACCAGCTATCAATCAGATGTCACATTAAATAAAATGTTGGTTCTGCTATGTTTATTTGCTGCTCTGAGCTCATTCTGATGCATTATTCCACTGCTGATCAGGGATAGATGCTAGTATTTTTAAGCACGGGCCACCAAGACCCTAAATTTCGTGGCCCAAATGTAAACATCTGTAGAAACAATGCAGAAAAGGCATTTTAACGCAGCTTAACATGGCCTTCTCAAACTGTAACACTTCAATAAATGAAATTATTTAATAATGTAATTATTTGTAAACATATATAAGGCCTATTCTGTCCTAGTTCAGTCCCCCCCCGTGTCCGTGATACACACTCCCTCCCTCTCTCCCATCATCGCTGTGTCGGCCCTGCATACACCGCTGTACATTAGACGCGTTATATTCTAGCCACTTCCACTCCTGCTTCCATTCACTCCTAAACTTTTCATTCCAATTTTTTCATAGTCCATGTTTTGCGTTTCTGGTTCTTCTTTAGCGATCATGTTATAAGTTTGATTAGGTTTAGTAAAGCCATACTCCAGCAGCCCCAACATACCAGCAGCAAGCCGGTGACAAGTAATATTACTGTTCGCTGCTTTTGTAGAATGATGAACTAAGAAACCCAAATGAAATGGGATGTTTGCAGAAGGTTTACGTTGCATTGCCGAAGTGCAGGGGGTCTGAGACATGGGGCCTCATTCTCAAAGAGATTCAGTAAAGCTTGGTGGCCACAGTGGGCCCCCTGCTGGGGATATATGGTATGTAATACAAGAGTCACAAGCTCAGGCTACATTATAACAAGAGTTGCTCAGGAAACATGAAATGATGTCAATTTTGTTTGGCTTGTACATTATTGGTTTGGGGAACATGATGAAGCAACACAAAGGTGAATTTGTTAGATACAAGTATGTAAGAAAGCCGAACCACACTTTGGACCTCAGCTGTCCTGTGGACACATGGAGGACAGTGTGTAGCCTTGGCTCCGACCACTGTTTATCCCAGCAGCTCAGTCTGTTTGTCAGGGCATGTGTTACACAAGTTGATGGTTAGAGCTGGGTATCAAACCTCACTGCTTTTATGGCATCGATCAAATTACTTCGATACCATCAAGTGCTGAAAAATGTCAAGTATCAAAACATGCTTTTCTACATTTTTACTCACTGATGTTCATATTAACAGAAATTAAGGCAATGGTAAATAGGTTTACTTTTCATGTTATGAAACTGCATTGAGTGCACAAAAATGCCAAAGAACAAAAAAATAAAATGACCTGTATCAAAATGTGTAATACATGTTTGTTTTTTGTTTTTTTGTTAAAATTGCATTTATAAAATTGGCATCAAAAAAGTATCATTTAGTAACCAGCATCAAAGTCAAGGTATTGGTACCTATACTGAAAATTTTGGAATGATACCCAGCCCTATTGATGATAAGGTGATAACATGTCTGTCAGGGAGGATACAGCAAACATGTAACCGAGCTGAACTGGATTACAATAGTTCTTATTAACTGCCTGGATCAGTGTAATTAAAATATGCACAGGCATACAACCCCAAACCTAAAAAACGTTTGGGACAGTATCGTCGACAGTAACAACGCTCACCGATATTGGGCTATAATGACTCAGTCGTTAGGCGACATTGTTGGGCATCAAAGGACTGAACTAAACATCTGCAACAACGCCAAACTGATGAAGCCTCTTGGATGAGAGGTGAAACGTCTTCGACCTAAAAATCTAGTCCAGTTTTTTCAGCTTTCTATGACCTGGATGACTGAGAATCTGCATGGACATTTGAAAGTTGGGCTGGTTGCATTTCAGGGCCAGTAATGAGGTAAAACAATGAAATGATGATTCCATGTGAAACGGGTGATATCGGCCTCAACCCAAGGGGGCAGCAAAGCACCACTTTTCAGTCTGGTGTTAAGTTTCAATATCGCTGTAGTGATATTCACTACACACTGGCTCTAACAGTTAGTGAGATGCCATTACAAACTTGTCCTGCACTATGTTTGTAAGTGTGTGTGAGTGTTTCACCTGTCCCCCTCTAGCTTGGGTAGGTCAGAGCATGAAGATGACTCCTCTAGCCAGGCCAGACCTGGTCTCCGGGACTCACTCGGCGTCTGCTGGCCCTGCTCACTGCCGCACAGGATCAGCTGCCTCAGGATGACCGGGTCGTATGGGTTTAAGTCAAACTTCAAGTGCACCTGTTCATAACAACCACACACTTTTTAATACGGGATCAACTCCAACACTCAATGTCTGACACATCTTTGAAAGGAAAATACAAGATACTGTAGATGATGCTGTTTCAGGCATTCAGTCTGCTGCTCTGACCTTCATCATTTTGGAGACATCCCAGACGCACATCTTGCCCCTCTTGGTAGCAACAGCGAGGAACTGTGGGCAGCTGCCGAAGCCATAGCAGGCAATCTTGTCCGAGCTGTCGGGGCTGTTTGGAAACTGGGCGGGGCTGGTCGCCAGTGTTACTGAGAGGGGGACATTCTGTGTGTGCTCGCCCTTCACAAATGGACAATTGGGAGAATGGCGCTCGTGTTCCGACCTGGAGCATAGTGAAGAAATGGGCATTGTAGATGTGTGTGGAATGTAGGGTTGCAACCATATAAGATTTTCACTGTATGATGACATCTCAGAAAATATCATGGTTTCACGGTATTACAATTACTATTATTGTCAATTAAAACAACCCTCAAAGGAATGAAAACAAAAGGGTCTTTTTATTGCAAGTGCCAGTTATTTGAACTGGATGGCAGCACTACATCCATCATCTATACCACTTATTCCTGAATAGGGTCATGGGACTCGAACCCAGAACCTTCTTGTGAGGTGACAGCTCTAGCCAACGTTCCACTGTGCCACCCGTTACATAAACAGCTTATCACTCCTGCACTGATGATGGGGAGCTGACAGGAAGTCAGAGAAGACGGGTGTACACACATTGCATTGCTTTTTTTCTCCAATACCAGTGATAAACATCAATTTTCATACCATGGTGTACCGTGAAACGGGGATACCACTGCATCCCTAGTGGAATGATATCCTGTAGCTATGTATTTCTTAACCCAATGCATAATTATCCCCACTCACCACGGCTCATCTGTAGGTTCCCAACAGACTAGACACACACTGCAGGTGAAACACATGGCTCTATCGTCCCCTGTTGATGCAGGCTGTGGATAGACAGGAGCATGATCAGAGCTTAGACGCCTTAGACAGCTGGATTAAACACTGTGCAGTTTTGTTCTAGAGAATCCTCAGTTTGTACAGCAGTTGCAAAACCAGAAAAACCTAATCAACACGAACATTATATCATTGCACATAACGGTTATAATTAATAGCAACATTCACATTTATTGTTGGTTTTCACAGACTCTGAGTATACCTTTAGGCTGCTGGTATGACAGAGTTGTCTCCATAGGTACATTCTGTTAGATAAGGACATGTCTCTTCCACTAACTAAACACACTTATAGTGACTTGAAACACTAAATGGGCTTCACTGCTGGCAAACAGCCTTTTGAATGCACATTTTGAACATGCATAAGAGTAAACAGAGATGTAAATCGAGTATATGCCTCCAGACTAATGTGCTCCTCAGAGTCCTCTTAGAACCTACCTGGTGGTAAAACCCTGCTTGAGCCATTGGATCAGGCTGAGCCCACCTGTACCCAGCGTGAGGCCACGATGTAAATGTCTCTCTCCTGTTGGCCTCACTGTACATCAAAGATCTGCAGAGACCGACACAGTTTAGAAACATGCCCAGTTTTCTGTATTGTGGTGTGAAATGTGTCACTGTACCTGTTCTGTAGTGTACTTATGTGAGAAACACATAAGTATGTCAGAGTCCATAAGAAAATACTTTTTAAAATGTCACTAACAACAATAAATAATAGTACTAATAATAGAGGACAATGCTGATGATTTTGTAATTATTAGATATTTTTCACATATCCCATACAGTCTCAATAACCAATCGTGAAATTAGTGTACTCACCTACAATGTCTGTCAAACCAGAACCTGGTTTCATGCCTACCTGACATCATGCACATGTTTAGTCAACTCTAACTTCAGAGACTGTAAAAAGTGATGGCAATTTGGAGCTCATTTTGGAAAGAAAGCAGGTCTCACATTTTTGGTGAGGAAGTAACATATCACTCAGTGCAGTGGTGGGACTCACTGGTATGTTTTTAGGCCTATGGCACAAATGAATAAGCTAAACCAGGTTCTGGATTCACAGAAATTAAAGTGAGTACACCAAATTCACTGTTGGTTCAAGTCTCTGTATGGGATGTTTTGGAAATTACAAAACAGAAAAAACCCCACTGACTTTATCCTTTACAATGATGGTTAGAAACGCTGCATGAAGAACTATAAACCCCAGCTAGAGTCTTGGAGTGTTTAAGTGTTCAGTTGTTAAATGTGTTAAATGTGCTCACCTATCTACAGAACGCCCAGGGCCCACCCCAAGCTCAGGCCTGGCGCTCGACAAGAGGTAGGAGAGCCTGTCCATGATGGATGAGGCCACAGACAAGGCAGCTATGTTCTGGTTAATCTTCTTCAGCTCAGTGACAATGGCGCTGGCCACCAGCTTCAGCACATGGTGGGGAAGATGGAAGGTCACCGTCGCCCACTGAGAGAAGGAGGGAGAAGTAGAGGGTCACAAACAAAAAAGAAATGGTTTTGAAGGCACTTTACACTTGGCCTGTACACCTCATAGGTCAAAAGGGCAGAGAGGACCACTTACATCCTGGACATAAACTCTATGAACTCCTCCCCTCTGGGTGGCACTACAGGTCACTGTACGCTCAGACAACCAGACACAGACGGTTTAGTCTTCCAGGCTATTACACTCTTGAACGACTAGTCTATGTTTTCACTTTTAACATGTATATATATATATTTTGTATTTATTTTGTCTTTATTGCTGTGCACATCAGGGGCCATTGGGATGGAGTCAAATTCCTTGTATTATTGATAATACTTGGCAATAAAGTTTATGCTGATGCTTTACGAACAGCTGATCAGAATGGCACAGGACCACACATCAAGTGCACTGAAGCAGAGGCTGGTAGGTGCTCATACCAGTACCTCATGACAAGTTAGTGTTATCTTTACCTAGTAAAGTAGCTGCAAAAAAAAAAACATGTTCAAAAGTCTCCTTGGTGAGAGACACATATATACATACACACACACACACACACAGGCTGCGCTCTGGGGAGTAGTGCTGCTGCTGTCTGCACTGCACAGCATGTAAATTTTGTCACATTACATTAAAATGGTCTAAACACATTACCCAACAAGCACATCTTCAAATGCCCCTTAGTGAAACCAGCCTTTTTTTTTAAACGGTCACACAACAATATAACAACAGAAAAATGATATTACTTTCACAACCAAGTCATATGACTGAACCACTCAAAAGCTCAGTTTTAGCTGTGAAAAAATGGCAGCTTAGTTTGGACAGAAAGGCCCAAGGGGCTAAAAAACAGAGATGCTGACTTGGTGTAAACAATGTAGAAAGTCCATCATTTTTAGGGAACTATTTCATGGGAAAAACACACACACACACACACACACACACACACACACATATAATGCTAGACACTTGTCCATGGGTCATACACTGTTCCATAAACACAGCATTCAAACATTCCTAAACAGTCAGAAATGAATCTAAAGGTAAACTTTGTTTTTACAAAGACACATGTGTAAAGGCTTTTCTTTGCCAAAAGTCACTGCAGCAATAACTATTCATTGGCATTTACAATTGTTTTGGTAACTGCAGTCTATAAAATAATGTTAGAGTCCAGCAAGCTAAATCTGCTCAAACTAAAGGTGGTTTTCAACACAATGAGCTTTGGTTTTATATCATGCTCAAATATGCATGACTCAGTAACAAGTAGAATCAGATTTAGACAAGCTTTAGCAAACACTGGTTATATTCCCGTCTGTTGACTTGGTCCATCGTCCAGGGTAGTAATAACAATAAACCAGTCTGTGTTCACCACACCAACAGCACTCACTATATGAGCTGAGATAATCTGACTAGTATCTTTCAGTCAACAACTGAGACACTGCTAGAGCTTTACAGTTTGAACTCTGTTCAGCACAGGATTACACAAATTGTGGGTAGACTCCAGCAAACTAATAATAGTGTGATCATTTGGTTTATTGGTCATACTAAAACACAGGTTCAGTAACAAGTTTAGCACCTGGACTATTAGTGGGATGAGATCTGACATCGTCAGTGAGTGGCTACATGCTGAGGGTATTACTCCATCCACTGGCCCATGTGTATATACACTAGAGCTCTTAGAGGGAACCGCACAAAGTATACCAATGCAATCCATCAACCAGTACACAAGGTGACTGGGATAGCAGCAAAGGCGCTGGACAGTGGGACAGCTGCCAAAAGTAGCTGTAGCTTGGCGCTGCAGTGAACTACTACCAACACACCAGCAAAAAGTTAGCCGCAAGAAAGCTTAAATGAACAGTTGTTATTGTCTTTCCAATATATTTGTGTTGGCTGAAAATTGCTGATGAAGCTGTTGTCAAAGCTCTGTGCAGCTTCATCAGTTGTCAGAACTGATGAAGCCTCTTGGATGACAGGTGAAACGTCTTCAACCTAAAAACCTAGTCCAGTTGATTTTTCTAAGTTTTTTCAGCTTTAGTTGCATTAAACATGCGGGGTTACTATGAGTGAAGCACTGTTACTGCTTTTGCTCCATTTTCATTTGAAAACGTCAACACATAAGCTGTTTTGGTCAATTTACTAACTGAATAGATGTTACAGCTCTAAAATTCTCCTCAATCACACACACACACACACACACACACACACACACACACACACACACTACCAACAATGTGGAAATAATGAAAAATGACAGTCATGTCTGTTAATATCCAAGTGAGGCCCAGAGCTCATGTCACACTGGACCTACAGGACAGCTGCCTTGTTTCCTCGTCACTCAAAGCAGAAAGAAAAGAATGGACTTCCTTTGATTCATCATGTTGTTTCGCATTTGAAGTAATGGTGAAGAAGTGTTGGATAATATCTATGTTGAACAAATTCTCAATACATTCCGCGATAGCAGTAATGTCTCCTCCCCTACCCATATGTGGCTACTACCTACATTTATCTGCTTCTATAAGGATAATCTTTAATAATAAGGATAATCACCTTTATTTGGCCAAGTACGTTACACACACAAGGAATTTGTTTCCGGTACAGAACCGAGGCAGCCGTTTGCGGTGCCAACTCACACCGACTGCTCTAACCATCGGGGGCAATGTGAGGGTTCAATGTCTTGCCTAAGGACACTTCGACATGTTGACCACAGGCACCGAGATTAAAACCTCCGACCTTCCAGTTGGGAGATCAGTGCTCTACCCACTGAACCACAGTCATCTCCACTATACTACTACTATCATTGCTGTTACCTCTGAAATCTTAGCACTGCTGCTACTCAAAAACAAAAACAAAAAAAAACAATGTGTCCATGTTGACTGTACTTTCTCTGTCCATTCTAAGAGTGAGAATGTTTGCAAATTTTCATAAACAACTGCTCACAGATTTCTGACAGCATTGCACCATTACAGCGTGCTCTGAGGGACAGCTGCACATAGAGACCAGTTTGTGCAGCAGGATTTAATTTTTAAAGTCCTTAAACTTGAATCTGGTTTGAAAATGAGCGGGTCAAGAAGCACAGGTATTTCTGTGATTGAGTGTTTATGTAAATATATAAGCTGTATTTAACCCAGACCAGACGGGGTGAAGGCAGGTCGGCCTGTGAGATCCACAGAGCTGAACTATGAACACTCTAGTTAAAGGCGAAAAGTCACACAGTTACACGAGTGGTGGCACCTGCAGCCTTCATCCTTTAAGCACTATACATACATTTTAAAAAATTATCTTGCTCAAGTATTAATCCACTGCATTTGGTGTTCATCAATGATCAACATATAGTTTGTATTTTCAAATGTATGGCCCAATGTAATATATCATACACCCCTCAAGCCCTGCACTGCTTGGTGTGAGTAACAGCAGCCACACACCGACTTCACCTGTTGTCAGTAATGCCTGTAACATCATCAGGACATGTGCAGGGTGTTTGCTCAGCAGCTGCGTTCATGTGTTATTTTGTGGGCTAATTATTGTGCGTGGATTTAAGAGATTCTCAAGGACAGGAGCACATTTCCTAGTGGAAAGTTGAAATACAGAGAGACATAGAGAGAGGGGGGCTGCTGAACTGAATGAGCATACTGCTCAGAGTGAGTGTGTGCACTGCACTCGCTCCGAGCTGGATTCTACTTAAGCACACGTGTACATGATCCCATCACCAGTCTGTTACTCTCAAAATCCTCTCCCTTTTTAGAATACCAGACGGGCACCATATTAACACAATATAAGCCTTTGAAGTTGAAATTAAGGTGATAACGAAACAGAAGACTCAACACCTGAAGCCTCATTTATAAATGTTGTACATGCACAAAATAGGGCCATAAACATGCATACACCCGTTCCTATTGAAATGCAGGATTTGTAAAAGCAAACTTGATGTGTGAATGTGTGTACCTGTATGTAAACTCTCACCTGTCCCTCCACACATTTTGGATTTGAGGGAAATGGTCAACACAGATGATGAAGCAGTGAACAGAAGCCAGATTCTTTACTGGTCCTTTTAATGGGTTTAATTTCACTTCATATGACACCAGTAATCATATATAGACAATGTCTACATATGATTGAAACTGCTGCGTCTTCAATGCAAAACTTAACTATTTACATCTGTGGCACATTAGCAAACTCTCAATTAACTGAGTGCCTGGCACTGGTTCGTCTTCATTCCCAAACCTACAACAACAAGGAAGTCAATTTCTTTGTGAACATTCATTTGAAATTTGATTTACCACACAGCTGATGTTATGACGAGGGATGGATATGGAAACCTGGTGCCAACAAGGAAACGGATGATAAAGGCAACAGAAACATCACTGTGTCACATGCTAAGGCCATCACTTATGCTGTGTTCCATTTACCTTGGCGCTGCAAATGAGTGAGAATGTTTTTTTAATGTCGTCAACCTTCATTTCATGCATGGTATAAATTTCATGAGGGCCATGTGGTCATGGCTGTCGCTGCCCTAGCATGTCCATGATGCCCTGTGTTACACTGGTTAGCGTGCCCTTACCCAATCAGTCAGGTTGGAAGAGTGAACTCTGTTAAAGATAATTCATGTTGAGTCATGTAGGTGTGTGTCTGTGGACATATGAAAGAGAACAGTGCTTAATAAAGTTGTTCATTCCTAAAGCCTCTGTGGTTCATGTAAGTTACCAGAATATGCCATCAAATTTAAGGCTATTCACTCTAACACCGCTTAGTAGTATCAACTTTTTTTACAAAGTGTTTGTTGGTGAACTTCTGTGCCTTTGCTACATCTATGAGCCATTTTTAGCTTCAGTCGAGCTAGTGTGCTACAATACAGTTTCCTTTAGTTTTACTGGATAAGCAAATCAAAGGATGTCATATTTGGTTCTGTCTACAAGCTGAAAGAAAACTCAGAGGCTGTAAAATGTTACATGCAGTGTTGAAATTAGCCTGTTTTCTCTGCTATTTGAAAAACTACATACGCTGAATAAGAACTAATATTGACAACCAAGTGAAAACCCTAACAAGCAGCCATTATGCATTTATTTTTAGTTTTCATAGTGCTAGAGGTGATGCTGGTCATTCTGTCATCACGATGCCAGAATATATTTACTGCACCAGTTAAGACTAAGAGAAATCAGACGTCCTTTCTTCGGTCTTCTCCTTAATACATCCATGATTCTTCTGACCTGTGATCTTAGGCAATGTCAGCAGAGAGCAACAAGAGCTTAGTTTGCTTTTGAGTCTAAATGTGCACAGAAAGCACAATTTACCATCTAGCTTATAATAAAGGGTGCACAGTTACTAGACTATCTCTGCATATTACCCTTTAATCACTCTACAAGCATCTGCACCACTCTAGTTTGTAACTTTACTGCTCAGGCTATGTACATAAGCTACAGTGGGGCAAATAAGTATCTGATACACTGCCGATTTTCCAAGTTTTCCCACTTACAAAGAATGGACAGATCTGTAATTTTCATCGTAGGTACAGCTCAACTGTGAGAGACAGGACCTACACAAAAATCCCAGAAAATCACATTGTTAGATTTTTAAATAATTTATTTCCATTCTATGGCATGAAATAAGTATTTGATCACCTACCAACCAGCAAGAATTCTGGCTCTCACAGACCTGTTAGTTTGTCTTTAAGAAGCCCTCCTATCCTTCACTCATTGCCTGTATTAATTGCAGCAGTCAAGTGGCCTTGCCCTTCAAATTATGGAATTTAAATTCTTTTTATAAGGTATTGCTTCTGGTAGCATTTAGGCACTGGCACCTTTTTAGTACCAGAAAAATCCCAAACGATACTCAACCCTAGTTATAACAATGCAGTTATGTCACCCTGTCTCTTAAAGAACACATGCAAAATTCAATTTAATAACATTGTAACATTGTGTAGAAACACACAAAACACAAGAAAAGACCGGTGCCTGCCTGTTTTATTTATCTGTATTTGTAAAAACCCGTGCTCAAACCAGTGCTTTTTATATTTGTCCCTCTTTATGAAGTCATACAAAATGACGCAGCAGTTCATTTCATAGATCATCCTCCCTCTTTATGAAGTCATACAAAATGACACAACAGTTCATTTCATAGATCATCCCCCCACTCAGATCGATTTTGGTGTTACCAATCCACCACTGTGATTTACTTGCTAGAACAGCAGACAAACAGCAACATGGCACAGCTCAGAGGAAAGAAGGGATTCTGCTCAGTTGTCAGTTGCACAGACAAGCACAAAAGTCTCCACTTATTTACATCTTCAGAGACAGCAAAGACAGTGGATATCGTATATTTATTTTGGAAATGTTCCTGAAGATATCCTTAAAACGTTGCATGTTATGTGTCAATCATTTTATGGAGTGCTTTCTCATTGAGCGTCAGTACAACACTAGATTTAACCTACTTCCCGTTTGAAGCTCAAGAGTGGATCTATTCCAACTGTCCATGAGTCCACCTCACATCCAGGTGCTGTAAGTGCTGCTAATTTAAACTTATTTTACTGCTTGTGTATGATATTAGCCTCTTAACTTGGCCACATTAGCTGCAATGTAACACTGAGCAGCTGACATGCCCAGCAGTAGCTTGTATTACAAGCCAAATGGCAGAAAAAGATATTGATGAACACTCAGAATGTAACAGAGAACGTGTGTGAAACTTTTTTTAACCAAATTTCCTGAGAGTAGTGGGTTGGATGGTGGTAACTTTGCTTGCTTATCTAGCATCATGGTAACAGCACTAAACTTTGTGTTTCTCTATTAGACAACACTGTCCAGGTGTGACAACAAGAGTAGTGTGACAGTAGCAGGGTCCCACTCAAACATCAGCGGCTGTTTAGTTTTTGGTTTAGAAGCAGTGGCTAACAATGTTAGCAGAGCTAACACTGAAGACCAGAGTGGTCCGGAATCTGGAAACACAGTTTGAAGTTGGTAGGCAGCTCCTATTCAGCACCATGGGAGCTGACCAATCAGAGCAGACTGGGTTTTTACAGGGGGAGGCCAGGGTCTGGTTTAACAATGAAAATAATGTAGACATAATGCAATAACTGCCAGTGGCATGATGTCTCAAAAGGCGTATAAGGGCTGACCTTATAAACATAATGAAATAGTAGTTATTACTGTGACAGACACGGACACTGATTAATATGTAGGCAGCCACTGCCAACCCAGCGCCTCAGCTCAGTCCGGCGTCCTACTGTTCTCATCCATCAGCAGGTCTGGGCACCAACAGAAGGATCAAATTATCTCTTATATGAACTACAACAAACACTGCTCCACCTAGTGGATATATACAACACAGTGGGCGGCTCGCACACACAGTGCTTAGGGGAGTTAACAAGGCAGCACTGTGATCACTGTGTCATGGCGAGGGATACACAGTAAATAGCAGGGGCTGTGTGTGGACTTGTCACGGATCGGGATTGGTTTCACCGCTGTGCAGCCAGCAATTTAAGATGGCTGTGTCTGTTTATTAAAACTTAAGTATGAATTGCATGTATGCTTAGCCGGTTGTGAATTTATAGCCCATTTACATATCTTCTAAAAAAAATATTTCTGCTCTTTGGTGATGTCTGTGTGGGACTTCATGCACAGTTCAGCTCTCTCACTTGCCTGGCTAGTGCCAGCTCATTTCTGTCTTAAAGCTACCAGTAGGCCACTACTTAAAAATAAATTTAAAAAAAAAATTCACCTGAGGGTGTGTTTCAGCCACTGCTAAATTCCAAGCCCTGATAAAGCAAAGGACGTGTCTTTTCATCTTAACCACAGTATGTTAAACCTTAAAATAATCAGAAAATTGCATAACATTTCTTAATAGAACTGCAGTAAAAAGCACCAGTAGATCTCTCATAGTCTTCTACAGGGTTGCAGCGGTATGAGTATCTTACTTGGTCTTCTGACGTGGTACAGGCTGTTATTATGGCGTGGTCGAGAAATAACATGCAGCGAGACCTCGATGGGGCCCGTAAAGAATGAAGACCACAAGTTATGTCTCACTTCTATTACAAGATCAACTTTGCACTGGGCAGGTGTAGCTTGGTATGGCTTCACTGCAAATGTCACAGCTTGAAACGGAGGTAAAAAACCAAAACAAAAAAGCCATGACAAAGCTTTTGGTCTAAGACAGCTCTTTATTCCTTGGGCCCTAAGCTACAATGAATGCTGCTCTTATTTTGTTATAATGCTAAAAGAGAAGCAACACCAGTGAGGGTGAACACAAAAAGAAAGGAACCAGAGATTCTCTGAATGACCTGAGAGGCAAAGCATTTTTCGTTTTCCTTGACAGGCTCCTCTCACATGACACTAATCACTAATAGCCAAATTAAAAATCCCTGATATGCGTCTACTACAAAGCTGATATGAGAACAACAAGCAGACATCGTTCAAAAAGGATGTAACAAAATAAAAGCACCTTTTGTACAGCACTAAAACTTACCTTGGCCACTTTGTGATTGGCTGCTGTCTCATGTGAGGTTTTCTTCAGGCCTTCTTTGAGCTGGCTGATGAAGAGTTCGTAGCCCTCTGTGTTGGACACGTCAATCTTTTCCTGACAAGCTGACAGCATCTGCTGTGCCTGAAAACAGACACACAAACATTTGTTCCAAGGTAGACACACGCACACAGAGAACTTGCTATGGTGATCACCATCCTGTGGTGTTTTGTGCAACACACACACACACACACACAGAAAACTTTGTGCTATCTGTGTAGTCATAGGCTTTCAGCTTTGTGGCAATGCAAAACAGAAAAGTACTCCCTTCATAATAAATTAATGGCTTCATGTAGAGATGCACTAATTGATTGGCAAAAATTTGTAATGGCTGGTTTTTAGCATGTTCGGTCTTGACCAGTGACCGGCTGATCACTCTGAGATTTCCTATTTTGTGCTAATCAGATTTAGAGGCACGACATTCCATGTCACACACGCAATGGCGCAGACCTAAAGCGCAGCATGTACAGTGTTTCTGCTCGTAATATTTCTCAGTGGTGCACTGCCATAAAACCCTTGTCATCACAAAAAAAAAAAAAAAAAAAAAAAAAAAACAACAACCCAACCAATCAATCATTTAATCAAGTGACTCACCTGGGAAGTCCATAAAGCAACAGGCTGTCATATACACAGGTGCAGTTAAAGCCAATTCAGACTGTGTGTTTTTAGATGCATTTTATAACTAGCCTGTATTAATAAAAATTATTATTGTTTGTTCACCTCCATAAAGGGAACAGGAGCACACACCCAAAACCCCAGCTGCCCCCCACCCCCCACTGCCACCATGCCAAACCTAAAATCCACAGGAAACATCTCAAGTGCACCTCGAGCTAAACTCACATCCGTGTTCGCTCATGCATTCAAAGCACTTTGTGTACAAATAGAGCACAGAGGAGCTACAGAATCACCCTAAAGAAGAATGGAAACTACATCCAAATCTCCAACAAATAGTACACAATGAAGCAATTACTGGGTGCATGTTAGATGCATGTACAGTGTAACCCGCGGTAAGACACAGCAAATACAAACTACATACTTAAAAAAAAAAGTGTGCGCTCAGTAGGACCAATGTAACAGACATTCCCCTGTTTGTTACACCTATTTTTATATGGAGAAGTACAAATATTACACTTCATTTTTAGTTGGAGGTTTAAAAAAAGTGAGGAAAAGACGGAAATATAAAACCTTAATGTTTATATATACATACACATTTATTACAATTTATGCTTTTCATTAAAGAAATGTTCCAAAACTGCCTGTGGATGCTGTCCATTACAGTTCTTAGAAAGAAAATTGGAATTGGCAGGGCAGGCTTAAAAAAAAAAATAATTGCAATCAGTACATCTCTAGTTCCATGGGTTATTAGTCCATTTGATGCATAATAATATGACTTCAGCCACTCATTAGTCAGAATGTGATAATTAGGACTGTGCAGTTAGGAATTCTTTTCAGTCGACTGTTCAGTGTTACTATTCGTTCTTACACACACACACACACACACACACTTTGATACTTCATTAGCCACTTCTGCCTGCTTTATTTGAAAAATGCCGTGCAGAGCATAAACAACCTGTGACTGTTTTCATGCTAAACTTACTAGCGGTGTGTATCACTAAAACATGTCCCACTGAAAAACAACAACAAACTCCGTCGGGAGGAATATGTGCATCACTAAAATATGCCCTACTGAAATACTATAAACTTCGCAGGGCGGAACATTAACTTTAGCTTCATAACTTCTAAATTCTAAATATATAAAAATGTAGAACATGCACCACAAACTGCAGACAACTGGAATGTCCTCTGTGAAATCCTGTTATGTATTAGATATTTCTGTTTATTTTATGTAATGTCCATTTGTAATAGCGTTGTGTAAATACTTTTGCTTGGGAAACAGGTTTGGAAACTCAGATGTCCGAGTTTTCCACGTGTCCTTAAATGCACCGTGAATTTGTGGATCGTGGACTTTTGAGAGTGCGGAAAAACACTCTCAAAAATCCGTGTGTGCACGGAAGGTGATTCGTGTGTTTTAGACGATCCACGCATGCGTAGGTAACAATGTGTACGTACTTTCTAAAGAACTGCACACAAAAAACTGATTTTAAGCATTTGTAAAATGTGATTTATATGCAGTTTGTACAGCATGCACTTGTGAACAGCATGACACACACACACGCACACAAATGGCTTTATACGTGCAGATTGCACAGCACGCATTTGTGATCCTCATGACACACAAATCACTTGTTACAGACAAAACGTTAAACACGCATTTGTAACATTTTTGATAGTATTTTATCTCCATACAGTGTGAGCTTTACTTTTCGCCTGCAGTTACCAATCTAAAGTGGTTGCATTTGAAAAAGGTTCATGGGATTTAAAAAAAAAAAAAAAATCCCAGGGAGAATTTATGGCCGGTTTGAACCTGCTGAAAAATTGTGGTTGAAGGTTTTAACAAGTCTTTTAATATAGTCTAAGATTAACAGCATATTCTGACAGAGGGCTTATAATCTGGAACAAAAGGTTTGGTGCAGGCGCATCTGTCTGGGCCAAAAAACAACATGTGGTGTAAAATATCAGACAACATCCATCTCGGTAAGGTGCTTCCCGGTATCTGTGAACAGTAAAGATGGCCTCTGTGCTGTTCTGTCTTACCTCTGTAACCGGCAGCTCCAGCTGAACCATATCCTCAGGCTTGGCCACTGGAGGCTGGAGGGCTGTGTCCAGGAGCAGGATGCCATTCAGGTCCTTCCTGCATCCCACTGCATAGTCATCCACAAAAAGCACCTTGTCCACTACGGGAAAGTACTGACACCTGACACGACCGCCAGGTTTAGCTGGGATGGGAACAAAGGAAGACACAGCATTCAATGTCAGGAGGTTTGCTGGTAATAACTGCCTGAAGAACACTACAAGTCAGTTGCATCTGACTTTGGTGGAGTACAATTTTGAACTAATAAATCATCTTGTGCAAGTAAATCAAAGCCAGTCATTTGTTCAATCTGGCCACATTCAACATTGACAGCACCTGCTGCTCTGTCTGAGTAACTGTGGACAGTGTTTAAAAAAAACTTAACTGGCTCTTTTAACAAATCACCTCATGATGAATACATACAAATACAATCTATTTTGTGAGCACCTAAATTAAATTAAGTAAGGTGCAAGTTACTGTTTGAATGCTTGAGAAAAAAAATTTATTGACCATTACCGCGTCAATGGAACATCTTTCAAACTGTCAGAGTGTACTAGCATGTATTTCTGTTCTATCAAAACATTTTATGAGTTTTCAAATTCTTACTTGCAGTGACTGAATCCCTAAAGAATAGATACACCAGTGTGTAATGACTGGTGAACAGACATGGTATCTACTTTTTTTTTTTTTTTTTTTGGCCCCCTACAGAATTTTATTTTATTAACCTACTCCCAAAAAGCTAGGCTTGGAATATTCCCATAATAAAAAAAAATGAATGAGTCGTGTGTTTTAAGCCCACATCACCTGCACTTTCTGCAGACAAAAGGTGACTATGGCGCAGTTACGTGGCAGGTCTGTAACCATTCGATATTGCCTCTATGCTGAATGCACTTGTTTTACAGTGCTTTACCAAAATAAATGTTTCTATATTAGGGTTGCAGGAACTTGTGCACACACCCTTCAGTGCCTGGCAGACATTTGGAAACAGTTTAGGAATTACAATAGCAGGTGCTAAGGTGCTAAAATGTTTTCAAATGTCTCCTTCTGCACTAAGCATTACAGTTACAGTCCAATTGCTAAATTGTAACTTGGTGCATTGCTGCTTTCTCCAAAACACCCAAACAACTTTAAGGACTTTTAACAAGTTATATAATGTCAGTAAAACAAGATAAACTGCACATCAGAGTCAAGACTCACATGTTCAACCACAAATACTCTGAGGTCCTGGATATCACAGGGACTATCACACTGCCTGTTACCAAGGCATTTTCAGCAAACACTGCCCTTGTCAGAGAAACCCACTTCTCTAGTGATACATACAAACACTGCTGAGATTCTCATAAAAAGAGGAAATGTGAAGTCATTCATTAGAAACAAAATCAGGTTTGAAAAGGTCTTTGAATTCCACATGCTGGTTCCTGATGCCTGTGCTAGAGGGCAGGTATCCTAAAGGATGTCTTTATGATACTGTAAATGTGTATGTCTGCTTTCATTGTGTTGAGCTTTCTGCTCCTGTGAGTTTGGCCACGGACTAGTTACTGATCTTTAGAATGATTCAGCTGACAAACTGTTGGCTTTCATAATGCTGGAATTAGCATAATATACATATGCACATTTTTACTGATGTAATAACAAAGTACCATCCATCCATTTTCCTCCGCTTGTCCGGGACCGGGTCGCGGGGGCAGCAGTCTAAGCAAAGATGCCCAGACTTCCCTCTCTCCAGACACTTCCTCCAGCTCCTCCGGGGGAATGCCAAGGC